TCCTTCATATGGCTGACGGCTCTGAGGGAGCGCTTTGTGCCCATGCAGTTACTACAGTATGGGAAGCACAAAGACTTTTTGAATTCTCATCACCGCTTGGGTAAAATACCGTGACCAATTTTAAGAGAAGTTTCGGTCATAAAAAGCGGCTTCACCCAGAGAAAGTAATGAAAGGGAACAGCAGCACTCACTCACTGCGCTGTTACCTGACAGGCTGCAGCTTTGATGGTGACAAGAGGCACTCAAAAGCCCACTTCACACCCACACACGCAGAAATGTTGCCTTCAGTCAGTTCTGCATAATGGAAACATGTTTCCAGCAGGGATCCAAAACTGCCTGCAGGAGAATAAAGAATTACAGAAGCACAGTTTCTTACGAGAGTGAAACTGTGCTGCAGCAGTTACAATTGTGTATACAAGTCAGAAACAAGTACACAGTGTTAATACATTGTCAATGTTTGTGCAAGACAACGTATAGCTGGTCAGAGGAGTCGTCCTGCTTCCTCTCCATCATCCACCAGACAGAAAGTCACGAAGGTGTCTGAATTGGGAGTCTTTTTAACCGTTACCCCTCCCTGTCTCCTGCTCGTCTTTGCAACACTCACTCCACATTTGACAGCTCGTTTGATGCCTCGGCCTTAGATGTACATGCAGACTCACGAGGCAGCCACTGGGCTTTATTCATCAGCCGGTGATCAGCAGCAGAGTGAGCAGCCGTCGCTGTTAATGAACCCACACCAACTGAGCGTTGCTTTAGTTTCGGTGGGACTCGCACCGTGTCGTCTTTATGTCCCTCCGCTGTCCAGGGTTGTTCTCTTTTGTGTCTTCCTCCTTCGTGACTTCCTTTCTCAGTGGTCTCCTTATCGTCCTCGATCTGTACACTAGGTGCTGTTGCTCTGCTCGCAGTGAGCTGATGTCTATCAATCCAACCTTTGCCTTTCCTCTAATGTCACTGTCGGCTCAAACATTCTAAATGTCTCACAGGATAACAACGGATGGCCAGATTTCTTTTTTTCTTTTTTTTCGCAGCTCCCATAGTTTCCTAATAACTTCTAATCATAAATTCAAAGAGGATATTTCCTGCAAAAGTACTGTTTAATGTGATACCTGTAATAGAGAAATAGAGGCATTGTTCCACTTCAGTAGTGTAAGCTAGAGAGTCTTTAAGTCATTGCACAGCAGGTCAGCTCCAGATGTGCAAACATTTTAAAATGTGTCTGTAGGGGAGCCGAAAGTTCAACATGAATGGAGATTAATTCATTGAAATCTTTACTTTGGTTTAAATTGATCTCTTTGAAGGAAATGTAAAGGAAAGTACCAAAGCTTTCAAAGTTCAGACAAAGTGCAGAGTGCTATCACACTAGAACATTGAGAAAGAGGTAAATACCACTGTGTGTGTGTGCGTGTGTGTGTACACCACATGCTACGCTCAAACTGCTGATGCTGCACATCTCAACAGATGGCAAGCACACACAGACACACACACACACACACACACACACACACACACACCCAGCATGCAATATATACATCATGTGTAGTAATTATTTGTCAGGTGGGTTTGGGAATTAGATTGTATTATGACCTTCACACAGGTCATAATACATGTGCTCGTCCCTAACCCTGGCCTTGACCTAAAGCTTATTCAAATGCCAAAGACATCCGTACACTTAAAGCCTGGAAGTCAAACAGGTCCATATAAGAGCACACAAACCGCACAGATAAAGAGCTCCGAAATCCGAGACGTCACGCTGATCATTTGACTGTAGCGAAGGTTTCGGCCCTAATCACTTCATGTGTCTCGTGATCAACCCGGCAGGTTCGGCCTGTCAGAAACACTACACTACACAACTACATAATTACAGCCAGCAGATGTGATGGGCCAATTAACACCCGAACACACATGCTGTTAGTGTGCCGACACCTGCCGGCAATGCAGGAGCCTGTAAGAAGTGTGTGTCCATTCTTTCACTTAAGGAAAATGCAGGCATACCTGAGGGAAGACGTTCAACACATTGCGTTTGTTTAGAAAATGGGTTTAAAATCTTAATTTGAATACTGGATTCAGTTCATTTAGCTTAACAAATAGATGAAGAAACTAAACCGAAATACTTCAGAGCTGCCTTTTGATTGTCCAACAAGAGTTATGCTGTGCACAGCACGCCACTCTCCTCTCTTCTTCCTCTACGCTCATCCTCCGGCGTCTGCTAAACAGAGAGGACCCAGGGTAGAACCTTGGGGAACACCTTTTAGATCCAGTGATTAGGTCAGTATTTAGTAATAATAACAACAGCATCTGTTAACTTTCATCCTCCTCTGCCAGTTTAGCATTGTGTTACTTTAATAAGACATCATCCTCAGCACACCCTGAGGCCTCATCACTGCCTCCTCTTCCAGCCGTCACTTCCTCTGAGCACAGCGGGCCTCGCCTCCAGTCATTACGGACGCGCTCGGCCGTGAACTACAGAGCAACAAAAACAAAGCGGGAAAGATCCTGCGAGCTCGACCTGTGGTCGTGTTGAGCTGTTAAGTGCCGAAGACTGCCTCCTCATTTCCTCCTCTCCCCTTCTGTCTGGGGACGCTTGTCGCAGCTTAAAAGCAGATTCTTCTTTTCTCTGCAAGCATCTTTTATAAGCAGCTTGTGCACACACACACACTACAAAGACACACACTACAAAGACACAGTCATCTCAGCTCAGAGGGGAGCTGAAGTCTAACCATTACACTGCGTGATCAACCTCTTAATGGCTGTTCAGCCATTAGCGGCGGAGCCTGGGTCGACATCTTCTAATTCAGCGGTTCCCGAACTTTTTAGGCCACGCACCCCCTTCGACATCCCAACCGGGTTCACGCACCCCCCAATCCCCCACACCTTAAAAAAAAAAAAAATCAACAGCCTATTTATAGCCGCATAACAATCGGACCAATGAGAGAACAGTTTGCTCGCGCGTGGCGTTTGTTTGCAATATTTAGTCCGCTGTTAAATGTTGCAGTGTGAACACAAACCGAACAAAGGGGCAACTGCAACATTGTATCATGTTAATCCCTGAATCGGAACAAAGCCATCGAACTGAAGGTGTGAAAACGCCCTGAAACACTGCAACAAAGTTCCAATACATTTCAGTTACACAAGGCGTCACTTTGAAAGAGCAATAAGGATGGCGAGGACACACGCACAGGCTCAGAGGCAGATTGCATCACATTTAATTTACAATTAACCATACATAGCGGTTACATTAATCTGAATCGAATTACAATAAAGTTACACTCTCCAATCATACATTCCACCATCTCTTTGGCAGCTGGCAAGCACACGTCTTTGGCGATTGTGTGCGGTAGCCCCTTTCTTGCTATTCTGTGACCAGATATGAAGCCCGCAGTGCGTGTTTTATAGACCCAACACATGAATGAGACTGCAGTTGTTTTGGGCTGTTTTGTAACTCCTCAAATTTCGAAATAAAAAATGTAAGGGGCTTCTGACTTGCACTGGCATGCTTGGTGTTCAGGTGGCGACGTAAATAAGAGGGCTTCAGACAGCTGTTAGCCAGAACCTCACTGCACACCACGCACTGTGGCTTTGGGCAATCTGCATTGCCAATCCAAGTGAAGCCCAGACCCAGATACCTTTCATCATATTTCCTCTTTTTATTCCCGGTCTGATGCTCACTCTCGTTTCCTCTTGTTTCACCTTGACTCCGCGATGGACCTATGTGCTCCCGATTTGTCTGTGCTATCCCTTCCTCCTTTTCGGCCTCCTCCGTCTCATCTTTCTCTGACTCTTGCTCGATTTCTTCTCCCGGTCTCTCCCCAACGCACCTCTCCGTTCCTCTCTCTCTCTCTCTCTCTCTCTCTCTCTCTCTCTCTCTCTCTCTCTCTCTCTCTCTCTCTCTCTCTCTCTCTCTCTGTCCCTCTCCTCTTTTATGACTGATAGCTTCAGATGTCCCACCTGACAGTTTCCCCGATTTCAGCCAGTTTTGCATATTTGCATGAACGTTGCTGTTAGCTGACATTATAGCTGCACAAGCTAGGCTGTGTACGTAAAAGACAGTCTGGCGGCAGGAGCTGAAGTGCATTTATTTATTAAATTGTAAGTTTTTAAATTTAAATGTGACAAAGGGAATTTTTATAATTCATGTTTTTGTGAAAAATCCCACTTACATTTTTTAAAATTATATTTAATATCAATTATTACACCATTAGATTTTTCCTCTCGCGCACACCCTGGAGGCAGCTCGCGCGCACCACACTTTGGGAATCCCTGTTCTAATCAAACACAGCAGTGGAAGAGAAGAGGTGCGATGCAAAACAGTATTTTGAGTCTAAACTAATATCATACCTCATATATGAACTCTAGTTTATCTCTTGAACAAACGAGAAAAAGACAACTAAACGGATATGGGTGCATCAACAACCTTGTAAATGTGTAAATAAGAGAGTGTTTACCCAAATAGAGCGGCACACGACAGATTAGAAGGATACATTCATAAATAACTGCTTACATTTTTACAAAGTATATTTTTGCCATGGCCTTGTCTATACATCCCGCATTAGAGAGCTGACAGTATTTTCTGTGAGTGTTGTTAAAGGCCACTGTTTTAAAGGGACTGTCGTTCTATTAGCACCTGATGGAGTTCCTCATCTCCTCTGCTATTACTCCTCTGTATATAGACGACAGCATATTTGTAGGCAAAACTAAATTCTTTGACTCGGTCAAGTTGGTCTGCAATAAGCAGCAGGCGACTGCCGGCTGCGTGTTGCATGATTGCGACTATCTGATGCCTTTGCGTTGTCCTCGCTGTCCTCTGAAGGACATACGGACGGACTCGGTGAAACTGTAGCTGTGAGACGCAGAAGTCTTTGTGTGTGGTTCATTGCAAAAAAGAATTCAAACTGTTACTGTTGTCATGCAGATAACACAGCTGCCTTTATTGATTCAAAATGTGAACATAGATGAATTCACTGAACTGAGTTTGTGTGTGTGTGTTTTTTCTTTGTCCTCAGCTGTCGAACGAGCAACAGGAAGAGCCTGATTGTGACGTCCAGCACCTCCCCCACTCTGCCACGACCACACTCACCTCTGCATGGACACACAGGTAACACACACACACACACATATATATGTATACTTGCTTTGACACTTGACACAAGAAGATCTATTTTTCTAAATGTGTAAACATTATCTTGGCACCAGCAGCATCCTGATCAGCAGTTTGAAAGCTTTGGTAGCCTAAACAGATTTAACTAACAGATGCAGCAGCACCAGACTAAACGAGTGATTCATCCTCTGGGGACCATGAATACCTACAATGCTTACAGCAGTCTGCCCGGCTGACAACAGCAAAGGAACCATTGTCAGTTGATGTTGTAGTATCACCTGTTTTTCTCATCTGCAGAACGCAGTGTGTAGTAACAGCAGGTGAGCTGCGTTACAAGGAGTTGTGTTGTTTACCGTCGCACACCAACAAAGCACAATAAACGGGCGGCTGTCTGAGCACAGCACAGCGACATATTTGATTGCGTGGACTGATGCACAGGCCCACCATGTTGTATGTGGGCTGCCGCCTGCCTTTTTAAGGAATCACTCAAATTGGTTTGGTATATTTTGAGTGTTTTGCATTCGACGATGATGAGCTCGAGCTCTGCCCTTCTTCATTCAACGTCATAAAACTCTCAACACGTGCTCTCCTGGAATTGATCGATAGGGCCATGTGAGTATGAGCAGATCATATAAATTCGGCTCGGGACAAATTGATACTTGCATTGCCATTTGAGCCTGATTGATATATTGACATGGGCTGGCTGATCTTTGGCGTATCACAGATATATCTGAAAACACTGTTGGGTTGATTTTTCAACCGTAAAATGTCCCACTGGGTACATATCGATATCTGCATCAGACCCTAACCTACAGTATTTGTTGGCTGCTGTTTAACCGTTGGCCAACTGGAAGTTATGGTCATTTATTAAGCAGTTAGCGCAGAACATTGTCTCGTTTACAGCCCTTAAAATGCTTTTTTTCTTTAGAATCTCAATATCTGAGTTTTTAACTGTTGATCTTGCAATACAAGTTATTTAATGGTGTGACCTTGAGCTCCATTACATTTTAATTGGAATTTATTTTCATAGTGTTTCTACAATTTTCAGATTTGTAGACCAAAGAAAATTGACAGATTGATAAAAAAAATATGATTTCAGCTGTTCTAAAGAAATCCTTTTTTGGGGGGGGAGGGTCCTCTCTCAGGCACCACCAAACATAAACACACATGGAAATTTGGTGCGTGTGCTGCTACTTTGTGTGTGTCGTGACAGTTGAAATGAACGCTGGCAGGATTTTTGTCGAACACACTTGACAGCCTTCAAGACAAGCACACATAACTCCAAATCCACCATCAGATACCCACCCATGGGACCCCTTACACCCTCCTCCACCATTCAGAGAGAGAGATAAATGTGAAAGAGATGAACACCAGTGATATTGATTGATGGTGACTGAACGGGAGCGAGCGACACGGTCGGAATATAGATTGGGGGGACTGAATGAAAATGGATTGGTGACAGGGTCTGAATGAGAGGAGAGAAAAACTGCAGCATGGATATGAAAAATGGATGGATGGTAAAATATCGACAATTATATCTGACTCTGGAGAGAGAGAGCTCTTCATTAACGGTGTGTTTGTGCTCAGCTGACAGGCATGTCGCACATGTCTCATTTCCTGCTCAGGAAATAATGGAACTTGGCAAATCAGTCACAGCGCCCACACACACACACTTTGTTTGAATAACTGGTTTTTAACGCAAAGTTAAAACATCGATGCATCTGATCACCTTTAAGTTACGCCTTTATTTTGAAATTCCTACGGCCCGTCACCCTGAAAGTAATCATTCACAATAGATGTGGAATGCACAGCGTCATAGATGCTGAGTGGTTAAGGGGCGACGACGCTGGTTCCATTAAACCCAGAGACCCCTCTCTGTCTCTGCCTCTCCTTTTGTATCCTGTTGGTGCTTTGTATTTGAGGCTAACAACGGACTTTAAGATGCAGGTAAAATACTTTGTTTTGACTGGTGACTGAGAAGCTTAAAGCATATTTGGGAGCTTCTAAAAATAATTTGTCATCATATATCTACAGGTGTATTATGGAGACAGTGGCCCCCTGGGCACAGACATGCTAGTGACCCCACCACCTCTCCAATGGAGGAGCAAGACACACTGACTTCATTGTTTTTTACCCTCTTTGTGTAGTTTTTGTGTGTCTCTTTGTAGGGCTGGGTCATAATTCAATATAATGATTTATAGTCCTTCAATGGTATCGTGATGAAATCATGTATCGAGATATCGTGATACAATAACAAGCACTAACGAACTGAAATGTCTTTGACAATCAGATAATTTTGCACTAAAGTAGTGAAGTATTTCATTCACAAGGGAGTATACAACAATCGGCCTGTATGTTGTTTATGTATTGCATTGCCTGTAAACGTGCTACATGGTGATCTACATGTGTATTGACCTGTATCGGGATAGAAGATTTTGGCCATATGTCGGTTGCGTGGTCGCCTGTTTGGGGTCACATTGCGCTGCAGCATCCATAATACTCTGTCCCTCTTTCGTTCCACTCTTCCATCTCTTCCTCTCTTTTTTCCTTTCTCCATCCTGACTGCTGTGGCTGCTGTGTTGCCATGGTAACGCTGCCACCAATCTCGCGGCCCCTCTCTCTGTGTCCCCGACACCGCAGAGGAAGTAAACACTGCTAATTCAATGTTGGTAATTAACGTTGTGCTTTTCCTTTTCTCTCATGCTGCTTCAGTCCACAGTAACTACACAGTAACTACACAGTAACTACTCTTACTGTAGCTTTGATCAAATGTTTGAATAAAAGCTTGAATGGGGTTTTCAGCCTCATGCTAAGTTTGATATTACCTCCACAGAAACGTACGCGTCAACAGAAACCTTTAGTCTAATCCAAGGCTGTGATATCTCACTGCTGGCTGCTACTTTACTACTTAATATGCACCACTGGAGGCCATTCAAACTTTCTTCCTTTATTCCCACAGACCCTCTTCATACATACATGGTTTCTTTCTTTTTTTTCTTCTTCTTTTCCTCTCAAACTCTCGCTCTGGCCCTCATCACCAATTTCATCATGGTTTCAATCACCCAGCCATTTGGCGCTAATCAAATGGAGATTCCTCAAAGTCTAATATCCTGAGGGGCTGATGAGGACCAATCCTCTCCAAAAATGACTTTTATTAAATGTTGAAAAGCCTGCATAAATCCCTCGTTTCCCCTCTCTCTCTCTCTCTCTCTCTCTCTCTCTCTCTCTCTCTCTCCCCCCACTCCTTTGTCTCCTTTCTGTCTCACTAGTTTCTTGTCATCACCGTAACGTCTCCTTTCATTCTCTCCTCTTTTAAAATCTACACTTTCTCTCTTCCTTTACCTCCGCCTTGCCCTAAACTCCCCCCCCCCCCCCCCCCCCCTTCTGCAAAGCCCGGCAGATGATTGGCAGCTGCGTTGTGCTCTGACTTCTGATGAATTCTGTCAAACAATCCACCATGCGACTTTGTAATTGCACTGCAGGACAGGAAGAAAGACAACTTGGGATTCAAGCTTTTCTCTCATTCCTGTCGCACATTGTGCGCTCTTTTTCTTTTTTTTGTCTCTCCGCCCCCTCCCCAATTATAGCTGTATTTTGTTATCCCAACCACGCTGTCCCTGGAGAGGCAGCAAGACTGAAGAGGCACAAAGCAGATAATACATTTGCATGTATCTCATACGCCGGTATATGTCTTAGTCTTTGCTAAAGTAGGTCACTGTCAACTGCACAAAACCTTCTGAAAATGTGACAGCGGGGTGGCTTCGATACCTGCAGTGACAAGACCGCCTACCGGGTACTCTCAGCCCTAATTTACATTTCACTTTCAAAACACCATCCACACAGTGATTTTCTCTTCCTCACGAGAAGTGGAAAGTATTATTCAAATAGATTTCAAGAGTGATTTGAATTTTCTTCCCCCCTCTGGAGCCAATCGGAGCATGTCAGCATGCTGAAAGTCACTGTGTGGACATCGCATCACGGTGTGTGTGTGTGTGTGTGTGTGGTGGAAATGAGGCGCTGTGATGTTTCTAGTCTCGGTGCGGTGCGGGAAGGAGTGACCTCAGTGACTTTGGCTGACAGCTGTATGACAGCCGTGACCAGTGCAGGTCAGTGGGGCAAAAAAGAAACCAGAGCATCATGCAAACAAACTGACTGGGTAACAAGCCAACAACCTGTCATCTCACAACTGATAGCTTTCCTACAGCAAGGGATTAAACCCTCTGAGATACCACTAATGTATCAGCAACAACACATGTCAACAGGAAATAGGAAATGGTCATGCTCCGGTGGTTGTTGAGTCCTACTCCCTCCCTCTCTGACTCTACTCCACCCTGTGTTTCAACAGACTTTACACATCTCATAATCGCTGTGCTTCTCACGCCAGAGGACTGTTGTCATGTAGATGCAGAGGACGCTAAGGACACAACTGATCTGATATCAGTCCTTGAGATGTTAAATAACATTGGCAGATATGTTATGGTGGCATGGAAACAACGTGCTAACTCTGCTAGCCCGCCTGTTGTCTGTCTCTGCTGTTTTCTCCTTGTGCATGGTGTGCAAATTGTTAATCGTCAAACTAGTTGTCCTATAATACGCAAATTTTAGGTTAAATAGCTTGCACTGCACTTTTGTTTCTTTTGTTGAGAAAGCTTCCAGAGATCACTGTTAATCCTGGTTTCTGATTGAAGACGTTGAATGTTATCTGTCATGGATCAGTTCAGATCATCACAGATGGCAGTTTAATCACTGCGTCCCGTCCAAAGAAAGGTACAAATACATTTATATTTTTAGGCAATGTAATATTATCATTATTGGTTCTTTATTTTTTTAAATTATTTTCATTATTATTATTAAGTAGTCATGCCCATCCCTTATAGCCACATAATGTAAAAATGAAAGATCCCTTGAATGTACTGAGCAGTATGAACTGGGACGTGTTATAATTCCCCCTCCTCCCTCGTAGTCAAAGTATTCAAACATGTCTTTGCAGTGTCTTGTTACTTCTCAGCCGACATGTACTGTACAACAATAGTCACACAACTGCAAAAGATAATATTGGACCTCCCCATCTTCCGTCTTCCTTCTCCCTCATTGGACACTCTCTCACTCCAACCACAGAAGCCTCGTCATCTTATTGGCTACAATCAAATCAAACTTGTTTGAAGTCAGTTTACAAGGTCTGCTCAAGAAATGACCATCAGAAGTCCTCACACTGGAGAAGCTGGAACCAGAGACTAGTTGGTGTTTTTGCTTTCATATCAATCATCTAACTCATTGACTGTCTAATGAGAACAGCACTAGAATGAAATACCACTTCAGACCCAGGGTGAGGGTTTCTGAGGCGGCTTTAGGAAGCCTTGCTGACATTGAGCTCACGACACACACCTTGGAGCACCGTCGCATTATCATGCAAATAAATCTGAGAGGCGCCGGACGCCCTATATATACACACACACACACAGAGTTTACACCTCGCTGTGTGTGACTGTTTTTTACAGAGAGAGTCTTACATCTGTCTTCTTGCGTTGACGAATGGTCCACACAGACACACATACACACACACACACACACACAGTCGGAGCCATGAGGTGTGACAGTTCCTCCCTGTGTCTTTTGAATGTGATGGATGAATGCGATGGAAACTAACAAGCTTCTGTTTGACTAATAACACGCGTGTTCGCTTGAGTATGTGCATACATGTTCCGCGGCTTCAGACAGAGACGGGGATTCCGGTCCGACGGAGAGACAAATGCTCTTATTAATATCTGAGTCCCTGCTCCGTCCAGACGGGCTGCCGAGGAGAAATGCATAATTGATGTGGAAATGTCCGACCACTTCATCTCTTGTCGCCCTCTCCGTCTCCCCTCCGCTGAAATATTAGCTGCGCACTGAGCGCCGCGTTTCCCTGCAGATAGACCCGGCTTTGAACGTTCCCATCCATCACGCTGTGTGTTTATGTATCTCGATGTGTCGGTATGCTTATTAAATAATCTCAGGATAAGCATCGGCTGTTTCCTCGCGTGTCAGTTTCACAGCAGGTCGTTGACGTTGCGCTGCAGATGTTTTATGCTCGGTGCATGGATGTTTCCTCTCCTGAAACACAAAGGCAGATGTTTGTGCAGACTGAGCATCACACTGAATTTCTGTTTCGTATTCTCTTAATTATTCAGTGTGACCTTGACTTCATGGAGCCTATTTGTGGGTTTTTTTATGCTCTAAACAGTCAATAGTGACAGTCGTTTCTATCCAATGAGACAATGAGCGGTTACAAGGTCTGAAAACTGAACAATCACAACTTTTACATGTTGTTAGGTGGGATTGACTTTGATAAAATGCTTCTGACTCGAGGGGGATTCTTACCAGCTCACTGAAATGAAAGAAAGCATCAATTATTGAATCATTTGGTTTAGGTGAGGTTTACCTGGGCAGAGCATGCAGGAGGTCGGACCTGATGCGGTTTGCACCACAGTCACGTAGCCGGCTTGTAGTTTCGGTCATAAACAACCAAGAACTCTCGCTGTTCCTTGAATTTGTCTGATGATTACGGCGTCAACCCTCAACATCAGAAATTCCGAATCTCGTCGTCTCTCCAGTTAGATCATTTTCGTTGATGTCTCCGTTTAAATGACCTCTGTTTTTTCTTTATTTTCATTTCCAACACCTCACATACATTGGTTTGGGCCATTATTGCGTCGATACCCTTTTACATTGCTAACGCTACCAGCAGCTCTGTGTGAGGGGCACAAACCGGAGCTATGGCAGCTCTGGTGGCAAAGCCGGTGGTCTGCCTCCAAAGTCCAGGTCTCGACATACGAGGTACACCTCTTCCGCGCGGTTAGGGTGGACGAGAGAAGTCAGCTGAACTCACTCAGCTCTTGTCTTACTGAAAAGGAGGGAAGACACGTGAACAAGCAGAACACGTCACACGTGTTGTCATACAGAGGCCCATTATTTGATCTTCTATCTTGTAATTTGACAGGGTGTGCTTTCACATAACATGCAGCGGGAAAACTGACATCAACAAATAAGCAGTTCAGGTTCAATCTGTCTTATTTGCTCATGAGCTCTGAAGCTGTCATTCACTTTGGTGATTTGTCACAGGTAAATACAGAGATACAGAGATCATGTATTTTCAGTGGGGCTACTGTTCAGCGTGCTCATTCTCGCTCCCCTTTTCTTTCCTTCCCTCATGTCTCTCTCTCTCTCTCTCTCTCTCTCTCTCTCTCTCTCTCTCTCTCTCAGGTACCAGCCCGCTGGACAGCCCTCGCAACTTCTCCCCCAACACAGCTGCACACTTCTCCTTTGTTCCTGCACGCAGGTGAGGCTCACAGAAACACGCGCTCGTACTGTGCAGGTGTGTTTGAGGGTCTCGACCGGAATCAGCAGCTTTTATTTGTGTTTTCTCTCCATTTTTCTCAAGATCTCAGTATTCCTAACACCAGTTTCTACATCACAAGCGGCGGGTCACTTCACTGTTTATCTTGTTTAACAGTGCTCTTAAAATGGTGGGAAATAAAGCACCGTATTCTGACAGGAAGTGAGGAAATTGAAGAACGGATAAGCCGCACTTCAGCTTTTAATGTCGCTGTCTTTTAAAGGCTACGGAGCGGCTCAGTGGCCTCGGCACCTTGAGAGCCGAGCTGCAGCTGATGATGGTGTGTGAGATGAGGAGGCAGATGATCACTCTGAGGCTGTCACTCAAACCAGGATTAATAAACCTCTTATCTGTCTGGGCTCTCAGCAAAGATAGTAATTACTGAGAGGGAAGGAAGGACTAAGAGTGTGTGTGTGTGTGTGTGTGTGTGTGTTCGTTCGTTCCTGTGACAGATGCACACATGTTCAGGGACTTTTTAAAACCAAGATTAAAAGAGATGTCGTATCAAAGTTTGGTTTAATGGAAAGAAATTCTCAGCAGGCCTGCCTCTTAAATCTTCATTAACGATGATGATGTTTCCATGGGAACACACCTTTCCCGATGTACCAAACCTCAGGGCTCATGTTATATAGACAAGTTCATCAAACATCGGATGACAGCAGTGCAGCAGCCAAAAAGAGCATTAATGTTGATTTGAATTTGAAATCCCTCTCTGTCCGACTGATGACCTCAGTCCTGTAGAAGCTGGAGACCGTGGAACAACAGTGACACCATGTGGTGGAGTTTGATATGACGGGTCATTGATTTGAGGGTCCTTTGGGTGGATGTACAAAACCCTCTTAGTTTTCTTTTTCTCTTAGGAAAGAAGAGATCGGATCTTTGGCGTTTGATCCTTATTATGGACAACATGTATAGAAATTGGATTGAAATAAAATAGAACTCTGCAATAAACTGTGATATTCCACATAACCCCCAACGTCCTGAAAAGCATTTATTTTTTATTTTATTTGTTACAAATAATAAAAGTAACTATCTGAAAAAAATTATGTTTCATATTGATGATTTTTCACAATTGAATGGCTACATTTTATATTTTCTTTCTGAATGTATTCGTATGATAACTATGTATTTTAAATATTATATTATTACAATAACATGATATGAACCTCTTGCAGCCACACAAGTCTTTAGCAGGTATTTGGTTGGGTTGTGTTTGCCTTGGATTAGCTGAATTAGTTATCTCATTGCTTGTGACTCGTATTTAATTGTTCAAAAAAAGAAAAACAACTTGAGGGCTAGGACAGGCTTGAAAAGTGTGTGTGTGTGTGTGTGTGTGTGTGTGTGTGTGTGTGTGTGTGTGTG